AATGCCGAGGTAATATTTCTCGCAATAAGAATTAATTATTTACAGATTCTATGTCTTTCAGCATTATTAAGACCGTTCAAAGATGCGAAAAAGCAACAAAATTGTTAAATTTCTAGGCAATTTAACACGTAATATTACTGCAGTAATTTAGTAGAGTTAGCGTTTCAAAGATCAAAAAATCATTTCGACGCGCGTTTCAAAAGACCACATATATACTACATAAATTCACGCAGAATTACAGAATCCATCATTTAAGATCCAGCTAGACAGTTTAAGGCACTGATTAATATAGTTTCATCATATTTATTATTATCAACAAATATTATTAACAACAATCTTCTTTATTATTAAAAATATACAGAATATCTCCTCACAAAATTTGCAACAACATAAACGTATATACTGACCTAGGCCCCACAAAGAAGAGTGTGGTAAAGCTTTAAAAAATAAATGGAGTTTGCGTGAAAAAATTCATAGAGATGAAAAGTCTTATAAATGCGAGTTTTGTGAAAAAGCATTTATATGAGTATATTTAAATGAACAATAAAAGATAGAAGAATTATTTAATAATTCGATGCATGCTTTAAATCAATTGATAATCAATGATAAATATTGCTACGGTCATTTTGTAGTTGAAATGGGGATTTAAAAAGGCACAAGAAGGCAAAGCATTGCAAAGATACAAATTACAAGTGTATCGCGTGTAAAAAAGTTGTCAAAACTAAGCAGGATTTGCGTTATCATTTAGATACGGATCATCCTGAAAGAAAATTTAAATGTAACTAATGTCCATACACAAATGTTTTAAGCTGTTTAATAAGAAAAGTATTAGGTGTTGGAATTAATTCGTAGCGTTTTACAAGTGATGGGAAGTACTTTCATTAATGTATTTTTTAATGCTCATGTGAAATAAATAACATTCTTTCATTTAAAAACGCTACGAATTAATTCCAACACATAATATTTTTAAATAAAATTATATATTTGAATTGGTTAAAATAATAAAATTTTCTGGTATCACTATTTTTTTAATAAAAGTACGACAGAAACTTGTTTGAATCTTACATCTTCCAAATTTTTTCTTGTGTGTGTAATAATTCTTTAATAATAAATAATCTAAACATTGTATTTTTAATTTGCGAATCCCAATATTTTCGGTTTTTGATTGGTGGTTCCTGGCAACCAATAAGCAATTGAAATCCATTTGTTGTTCTGATTAGAGTATAAAGACTGTAATATGCAGTGCGTACTGTCAATCAGTAATGCCGTAAAATATTTTATTATTTTAAGAAAAAGGTAACGAAAAAGTAACGACTCGTTACATTTTTTTTTAGTAATAGCATAACGGGTTACTTTTATGATATAATGTTGTCAACCCTGTGTATATAAAAAATACATATGCATATATACACAAAAATGTCCGTTTTGTTCACAGTTGTTTCCAAGATTCTGACATGGTTATTTGTCAGCAAACACTTTGAATTTCAATCGTAACAATCTTGATCTAAGCCGTAAGCATGTAAGTTATTACATTATCAAAGCTTCAGTTTTCAAACTTAACGACATTTTTTAATCTATAAGCGAAATTTTAATTTTATAAATTTCTCTCTTAAGATTTAGTCTATCTTTGACATATTGTTCAATTTCTTCCCTCTTACTTTTCGTAACCGTTATATGTTTATTATAACTTTATTGCCCGGAATTTGATTTCCTAATCAAATATATTATTACTATTGTCTTATTTAATTTTCTACTTAACAGAATTCAAAATAAGACACTTGCACTATTCTAAATCTTTCTTTCCATATTAAATAATCATATATACAAGATGTTGCTTTCAACCTTGATGACGGTTTCTTATTTATATGTTCCAATTCGTACTCATTGTTCGTTTGAATTACGTTTAACTATTTTAACGTCTCATGTTTTTAATCTAACATTATACTTTTATTTAGGTAAATTAGAAAAAAAATAAAAGAACGTTTATATATAGTATAAATATTTAAAATTAATATCGAGTATCACTAACGATAAAATATATCAACTTAGCAATAAAATGCGTCAAAAGATGATGACTTCGACAAAGATTTTATACAGTCCTTCTTGCTAAAAAGTAAACTGTTAAAGTGTATTCGATATCTATCCACTAAAACCAATACAATTTGATAATTTTATACCTAAATTGTGAATACATCACAATTATTGTTTTAGATATTGCTTTAACAATGTATTCACCTGTCATTTTCAAATGTTTTAAGCTGTTTAATAAGAAAAGTACAATTATGATAACCGCGGTCTTCCGTTATAAAATTTCTTCGATAAAATTTCTTCGAAAAAATTTATGTTATTAAAGAATTATGTTTTCTTACGGTTTTAGATGGATAAACTTAAAAATATACATCTTTAAAAAAATTTTGACCGTGAGAATTACGAAAAGAATTTAGGGAACGTTATGATAAATTTAACCGAAGGAATACGCCTAAAGAGTTCGAAAATTGAATTTGAAATAAAAGGAACATCCATCAATGTCAAGTTTTGCAATTTGAATCCATAGTCGAAAATAATGGACAATGACACACAACATTATGTATGCCACCATGCCAATTGCGGTAAGATTAATGTAGTTCATTATTAATATTTTTAGTATTTTGATAACTTTGTGCTATTTCTTTGTGATGTCAGTTCTATTTTATTGTTTTCATATTCATTTCATAACAATAATATTCCTTAATTTTAAAGGTAAGCAATTTACCACCGCAAGAATTTTGACGCAACATATTATAGAGGAACATGGAGGACCGTATAAATGTATCTTCTGTCCAGCTACATTTCATAATCGTAATCTCTTAAACATTCACATACGGGGAACACATAGCGAAAATCCTTATGTTTGCGAGGTATGTGCTACAAAATTATTGTTAGTATCCTTTCTAATTTTTTGTCATTTGATCATTTTTATTTTTACCTTTCTTTAATCATAAATGTACTCTATTTTAGATATGCAAGAAAAGTTTTAGAACTAGAGGTGAACTAAACAGGCACCGAGTTATACATAGCGATGAAAGACCGCATGAATGTTGGGTGTGTTTCAAAGCATACAAGAGAGAAAATGAACTTGATCGACACATTGAAACTCAGGTCATTTATGATATAACGTTTTAATTCATTCGCAGATTCACATTTGTCTTTCTATTTTTGTTATATATTCGTAATCATATTATATAATAGATTATTATAATCAGTGTTGTAATCAGGTATTTAGATATAGGTATTACGTAGAAAAAGTATTTATATATAAGTACAGATACATTTTTTAAAATTACCTAAGTAGATTCAAATATAAGAAAAAAATATCCGAAAATTTAGGTATTTTTTAGTACTAAAAAAAAAGGAAAAAAATGTGGAAGTAGGAAAAAATAGAGAAACCAAGAAGAAGAAAAGATATAAGTAACATAAAATGCTACATTATATAATATTTTATTTATTTATTTTAATACATAAAAGAATGTCTCGATAATATTAAGTCGAATACAATAAGCGTTCATATATAGGACAATGCCGACTTACGAGATCACTTCTCATGAGCGGATTCACTGAGAGAAATGATTTTGTTATATGAACAAATCAAGGGAAAACAAACGTGATATTTAAGAAAATGATCAATTAGTTACTATTGCAAATTAATTCTCATTCTATAATTAAGAAGGAATATATAGTACAGCCACGACGCAAGACGTTTTAAACAAGTCCTTTTTATTTATGTTTTCTATATTTAAGTCACTTTTGAACAGTTTTATTAACTTCAAACAGTTCCATTTCTCATTCGTCAATGTAACAAATGATTAATAGTATCGCTAACAAATAAAAGGCTCATATATATAGAAATCATAGACGATTGTAGGATTTCAAATTATAAGAAATTGACCGATTCTAGTCAAGTATTCTCCCTACATTTGCCAGTGGTCAATTTTTCTCTTAACTTAAGACCTCACGATCATCTATAGATTTGTTCGCGTCGCATGTTCCAATATGCTTCTATCATGCTTTTACTCACTTCAACGCGCTTGATAGAATAAGTAAGATCTATGTAGGAACATATTGTTGGAGCTTGCGACGCGAAAAAATTTTTTGTTTTCTATGATAAAGAACCTAAAATCTATCCAAAAGATATTGATTTCTAAAAATCACCACATATGTAATAAACACATATCCGTGCAGACTACCGTCAAGACTACGCCTATCAGTTGCAGTCGATTATTGCGCGAGGATTACTAGACGTGCACTAAGCAGCGCGGCAACCAAACAGTAGCTACTTCCCGCACAACAAGCGATCGCGACCAATAGGCGTATACTTGATGGTAATACACTCGAATTCATGCTCATTAAATGATATTTAGAAATTTATATTTCCTGATGTAATGCAAAAAATTGCATAATGGTAAAGGACTTTTCGAATCACAAGGGAAGTTTCACAACTGTCTCGAACCGATTTTATTCTACATGAAATATGTTATTAAACACGAAAATCTAAGAGACGTATTTTTTTACATGTGCCCTAAATCACGTTTACGAAGTGAAACACCTTTGAAAAAATATAATGGTATTTCTATTTCGAGGCGAATATCGTCGGAAGTATAAAAGATGGAAAAAAATTTTTTAAACAAAGGTTGTACGGTTTTAAGAGTACGTCAATGCTGCGAAGAAAAAGATTTTTTTAATTTTTTTTAACAATTGTTAAACAAAAAAATAAAAAAATTTGATTTCTTTTCAACATTGAAGTATTATTGTTATATATGATTTATAGTACAGTGTAGTAAAAATGATTTATGGTAGATATAATAAAATTAAGTTTCTAATATAACATAAAATCAAATATAAGTTGTATAAGTATCTTGTATCTAAAACTTCAAACATACCGTAAAAATAACTACATACAGGCTATATCCGTCAAGGAAATAATGTACTTAGCTAAAATTCATGTAGGAACTGTATCTAGATAATTTATCTAGATATGTTCCAACACTGATATACCTAATATACCACATCACATGCGATACATCAAAGATTATTTATTTTTTAGGGTCACTGGCTACATCATTACATACATAATAAAAAACCAAAATAATTATGTAATTGACAACGAAAGAGATAAAGAACAATTATAACCTCAAAAATAATAGCAAATAATGATTAATAATAATGACGAACTGATGAAAGAAGTGAAGAATAAAGATGTAACTTTTAAGATTTTATATGTATAGACAGAAGTATTTCAGAAGATATAACTTTTCTCGGAGGTACAATTGAACATTGTCAGACGTACCATCGAGTAAATGAGTAAGGAACTTGAAAAAGATATTATGAAATCACTCCCGGAATAAAATATGTTGGGTGTATGATAGGAGCTACAAGCGAAAAAATGCATTTGCTAAACACATTCAAACTAAGGTTATTTATGATATAACGTTTTAATTCATTCGCAAAGTCACATTTGTCATTCTATTTTTGTTATTTATTTATTATCATATTATAATAGATCACTGTAATGTACCACATCACATATGATACATACAAAATATTAATTTTTTAGGGTCTCTAAAGTCATCACCTGTAGAACAATCGAAGAACAAACTGCAAATGACAACGAAAGATAAAGAACAATTATAATTACTTATAACATTGTCAAATAATGCCTAATAATAATGACGAACTGTTGAAAGAAGTGAAGAATAAAGATGTAACTTTTAAGATTTTATATGTATAGACGGGAATCTTCTAGAATTTACAACTTTTCTCGGAGGTACAAGTGAACACTGTCAGACATAGGAGCACCGTCGTGTAAAGTTGTTAATGCGTTTTAAAGACAAAATCGTCCGGCAAATCCTCACTGCATAATACTTTTAATAATTTTATGTCCTAGTTGAGTTTAAAGTAGTACAATCGCGAACAGAATTTCTTTAAATTAATGCTATATGTATTTTATTAGAAAGCGTTATTACACTTATGTAATTGCAATGAAGTTTCAATACTGAAATATGAGCAAATGAAAGCCACACTTTTTATACGTGTCGCATACAAAGTTAATGAAAATATCGTGTTTTTTTTTTGTAGAGCTTAAACTACTAACAATGGCAATACGATGGTAATGTTAATACGAAATGAGTAAATGAGTAAGGTACTTGGAAGGGATAGCGTGATACCAATCACGGGATATAAATATTTCATATATAATTTGAAATTGATGCTATACGTATTTTATTAGAAAGCGTTATTACACTTATGTAATTGCAATGAAGTTTCAATACTGAAATATGAGCAAATGAAAGCTACACTTTTTATACGATACTGAAATATGAGCAAATGAAAGCCACACTTTTTATACGTGTCGCATACAAAGTTAATGAAAATATCGTGTTTTTTTTTTGTAGAGCTTAAACTACTAACAATGGCAATACGATGGTAATGTTAATACGAAATGAGTAAATGAGTAAGGTACTTGGAAGGGATAGCGTGATACCAATCACGGGATATAAATATTTCATATATAATTATATAAAATCATATAAAAATACATATAATTTTATATAATTTTATTAAATGGATATATATTTTATATATATTTTCATATAATATTTATACAAATATATATTTATACATAATTACATATAAAATATTTTTTTCGGATGTCATTTAACTTTTTATTATTTTGTTTGGAAAAGTGTCGTGACAAGATTTATTTTTTATAAACATTTGTCAACGCGATAAGTGAATCGTATAGAGGTAACAATGAACTACGTTAGGCTGCGTCTATCAATGTTCACTTTTTCGCCTGCGACTATGAACAAGCGCATTCAAAAGTTTTCTCATACTAGCGAAAATGGAAATTAAGTAGCTGTGTCAAACGTTCGAGAAAATTTAACTTCTGATAATACTATCGCTAACATATTGTCGAATAGATACGTTCATTATACGTTCTTTACTACAGTATAGTAAGCATTATTATGTTTGTTTAATATGCAGTGGCAAATATGAAATAATATTTACGGCATGTGAACGTGAAAAGGAAGCTTAATTTAAATATATTGACCAATCGTAATAAAGAATTAATTATAATGCTAATTTACGATGCATCTTCAGAATATAGACTAATTTTAATATTGGATGTATGTGCTATTATTCTTGTATGTACTATTATAAGTCGAAAATTAATTATATTAAAGCAATTGGTGTTATAGAGCATTAGTAATTGTTTTTATTTCAATTATTGAATCTTCGCCGTAATATTTTTATGATGTAATTCTATATAGAAATCCTCTTGATATATAAATACATATTCTGACGAAAATTAGAAGTTTCAAAAATATTTGTTCAACATTTACCTGAGCTTTTGCAGAAGTTTGTTGCGAATTCAGAAACGGTCAGTAGAGTGTTTATAAAGCGGATATTTGAACGCTGCAACGTTTGAGAAGCTTTTTCTGACGAAAAGAAGTTACATGAACGTTCAGTTCAAGTGTTGAGCCTACTGAATGTAGACACTTTATTAAAAAAAGGATACAAAATTTTTTATTGAGATATGTTATCATACCGCGTCTTTCAGCCTATTCGATGTGATTTTCTAAATACGATAAATTGAATTTCATTGTGCCCTCTAGTGCCAATGTTGTCCACTGCTTGAAAATTGAATATATAGAAGAATGTTTGCTAAATGGAGGAAAAACCCTTGCGTTACGGGGGTTGAGGAAAAAGATTTTTGAACGTTTTTAAATCGTTTGCTTAAAAGTCTTACAAAATATTTAATGAGATTCAATAATTCGCCACATTAGAATAGCGTTTGTTGAACGAATGATAAATGCTTTTCTCATAATATTGAGAAAAGCGTTCGCTTGATGATGATGCAAATGTATGAAAAGTCTAACAGTGAATTCTCTACATAAAGATGCATCAGCGTTTACTGAGCACCCATTAAAAAACATTGATTTAGCATTACAGAACTTTCATGAAATGATATATACTGTTTTATAAGCATTCTGAAAGTGTTTAAAACCGTATGGTGTTCTGTAAGAGTTTTTATAAAGTTTGTAAACGTATAAACTCTTAAAAAATCGTCATCGAACGGTTGTTATTGTTTCATACAGTTCCATATTTTTGCCATTATAGATATGCTATTCCGAAGGGATAAAACTCTGTTTGTTAACAAGAACTGATTGCCTACAGTATCGTTTGCCTTCAGTATCGTTTACTACATTATAGTACATTTACTACAATTCGTCAGGAATAAAAAAGTATGTACTATTAAAATTTTATTTTTAAGATGTAAAGGTTTGTAATTTGGAATACAGTTTTTTGCACATCTATTTTATTTTTTGAAGAAGTAATACAACAATAACGTTTGAAAAAAATGTATAATATGCTGTATTTGACGCAATTTGGAGAACTTTTATATATTTTTTGATAAAATTAGATACTAAACTAAGTTTCCGTGGCTCACATTATTGGACGAAAACTCAGCTAAACGCTCAAGAATTGTCTGCAGCATTAAATGTTACTCCGATAGCTGGTTCCAAATGTCTACATGCAATTTTGGAAAGATTCAAAAGAAAATGGGTACCACACAAATTAACCGAAAATGCCATTGCGAATCGCTTAAATATCTCTATTTCTCTACTCGCCAGACAGAAAAAAAACAGTTTTTGACGCATTGTAACTAGCGATGAAAAGTGTATCTATTTTAATAATCCCGAATGCAAAAAGTCATCGATGGATCCTGGCCAACCACCAACACCTACATCAAAGCGAAATATCCACAAAGCAATGTTCTGCATTTGGTGGGTAAAATGTCGTTTACTACGAAGTACTCAAACCGAACGGAAGTATCACTGGGAATCAATACCAATTACAATTGAACCGTTTGAATAAAGCATTGTTGGAAAAAAGACCAGTAGTAGCCAGCAATCGACTCAAAGTTATGTTTTTGCACAATAACGCTCGACCACACATTGCAAAAGTCGTCAAGGAAACACTGATGAAGCTCGAGTGGTCAGTTCTCCCGCACCCAGCGTATTCACCAGGCTTAACTCTTTCAGATTATTACATGATCCGATGCAGCATGGCTTGGTGAATATACACTCAGAAATTATGAGAATGTGCGAAAATGAATCGATAAATGATTGCTTCAAAACGATTGCTTCAAAAGACTAATCGTTTTATCGTCGCGGAATCCACTTATTGCCACAAAGATGGGAAAAATGTATAGCTAGTGAGGGCAGATACTTTGATGTAATTTTTGCTTTTGATATCGAGATGAGTTTTTTAAGCAATAAACACAGTTTCGTATCTATATATTTGAATTAGTTAAAATAATATAATTTTCTGGTATTATTATTTTTTAAATAAAAATATATCAGAAAATTGATCGAACTATATATCTTCCAAATTTGCTTGTATGAGTAATAATTCTTTAATAATAATTAATCTAAACAATGCATGTTTAGTTTGCGGATCCCAATATTTTCGGTTTTTTGATTGATAGCCGCCGTTAACCAATCAGCAAGTGAAACTCATTTGCGGTTCTGATTAAAGTAGGGTATAAGGGCTGCAATGTGCAGTGTGTACTGCCAATGAGTAACGCTGTAAAATATTTTATTACTTTCATGAAAAAAGGTAACGAAAAAGTAACGACTCGTTACATTTTTTTTGAGTTATGATAATGAGTTACATTTATGAGACAATGTTGACAACCCTATGTACAAAAAAAAATATATATATACAAAAGTTTGTTTTACCTTAGTTGTTTCTAAGATTTCGACGTTAATTGTCAGCAAACAATTTGAAATTCATAATCTTGATGATCCAAGCCGTAAGCATTATATATAAGTTATTATATCATGAAAATTTCAATTTTTAAATCTTATGTCATTTTTTGATCTAGGCGTCTATTCTAATTTGATAAATTTTTCTTTTGAGATTTAATATACCTTTAACATTGTTTGCTTGAATTACGTTTAACTATTGTAACGTTTTAGGTTTCCTGATTAAATTATACTTAATATTTTATTTATGTAAATTAGAAGAAAAATCAAGAACTGTTCATATTAGGTTATTTAAAAAGTATCCACGGTTTTTTATTTTTAAATGACCCAATATATAGAACAAACATTTAAAATTACATATCGAGTATCACTAACAATAAAGTATCAATTTAGCTGTAAAATACGTTAAAAGATGAAGGCTGACTTTAACAAAAATTTTATACCTTATTTAGTCGTTATTGTTAAAGTGTGTTCGATATCCACTAAAGACAGTACACTGATAATTCTATATGTAAATTATGAATACATCGATTGTTTTAAACATTGTTATAATAATGTATTCACCGGTCATTTTCAAAATGCTTTAAGCTGTTTAATAAGAAAAGTACTGTTATGATAACCGCGGTATTCGGTTATAAAATTTCTTCGATAAAAATTTATCATTTGTTATTATAGAATTATGTTTTCTTACGGTTACGGATGGATAAACTTAAAAATATATATCTTTAAAAAAATTTTGACCGTGAGAATTACGAAAAGAATTTAGGGACCGTTACGATAAAGTTAATCGAGGAATACGCCTAAAGAGTTCCAGAATTGAATTTGAAAGAAAAAAGAAATATCCATCAATCTCAAGTTTCGCAACATTTGAATCGATAGTCGAAGATAATGAACAATGCCACAAAAAATTATTTATGCCACTATTGCGGTAAAATTTAATTCATGATTAATATTTTTAGTGTTTTGATAACTTTGTGCTATTTCTTTGTTTGTTAGTTTTATTTTGCTGTTTTCATATTCATTTCATAACAATAATTTTCCTTAATTTTAAAGGTGTGCAATTTACCACCTCTACCGGGAGCTTTGAAACAACATTTTGAAGAAATACATACTGAAGATATACCATATAAATGTGAAAAATGTGATCGAACATTAAAGAATGAATATCGTAAGCGTTGGCATGGAAAAACTCATACAGAGGTAAAATCTTATCAATGCTAATTTTATGGAAAACTATTTGCGTGAGTATTTAAATGAACAACAAAAATGAGGTGAATTATCTGGTAATTCATTGTCTATTGAATTAAATGATAACAAAATAATGTTGCCATTGTTATTTTATAGTCAAAAAGGCTATCTAAAAAAACCATATAGAGGCAAGTC